ACATGGTTAATCTGACTAATTAGGCACTAATAAATTCCTGCAACAAGAAGAAAACTGATTCAATTCCTAAAAATCTGGAAACAAAATCCGGAAAATAAATAAACCTAACCATAGAAAGAGTATGGATACAATATTCAATAAACAAAAGTAGATAAATTTTTACCTCTACCGATAAAAGTAGATTCCGTTGTAATAGTCGTTGATGAAAGCTCAGTTGTTATATTTGCTTCGAATCCAGGAGCAATTGAAGAAGAAGAAAATGTGTCATTCAATTTCAGCGTAGAATAATCTGAAATGGTTATCAGACAAAAAGTTAAAGGCAAAGTGCAAACTACAAATTGTAAGAAGACGAACACTGATTGAAAATACTGTCAGAAAAGATAAAATAAAACATTTCAAAAAATGAAGGATAAATAAAAATGGGAAAAACAGGAAATAAAAATGAAGCAGAAAAATAAATAGCAAAAGAAGAAAACAATACAGATGGATGACGGGATAACAGAAACTGACAAAACAATCTACAAATCAAACAATGAAAAAATTCAAAAACCAGTTAATGACCTGCTAAGAAAATTATCGAAATTACCTACAAAAAAACACACACAAGTAATGAGAAGAATTGCAGAAGGAATCAAAATCACAAACAAGATTCGGTGTCACTTAAACCCTCATACGCTTTAACGTGCCAACAATTAGTGTGAATCTCTGCTCGCATCCACTACACCACTGATCATGCTGATGCATTCAGCTACAAAACAACATAAACATGCTGTCGCCACTCACCTTCACACTCACCATCGACACATTTGCATTGCGAACACTCTCCAACGCAATCACTGTCATTCAGTCAGTCAATCTCTGCCTTAACCAACCAGTCACTCAATCACTCCATCAACCACTCCATTATTCAATCCATCAATCCATCATTCAATCAATTAATCAATTAATCATTCATTCATCCATTCACTCACTCACTCACTCATTCATTCATTCATTCATTCATTCATTCATCCATTCATTCATTCAGTCCGTCGATCAATCAACACGTTGTTCAAACAGTCAATCGGTCGATGTGACAATCAGTAGAACAGTGAGTCGATGCACTCAACACAAGCACACATGTCATGTGAACACGTGTTGAATGAGGTGTGGAGTGCATTTGGTGTCTTGCAAATCGATTTGGACCTACCGAAAGTAGCTGCAGCAGTAGTTGATGACGGCTCGGTCATCCGCATCGTAGCCGATGTTGCTGCCGTGGTCATGGTCATCGACGGCGTCAATGTTGTGCTTGTGGTCGCGGTGGTGCTATTGCTTGTGTTTGTGTCCATGCTCGTGCTCATGCTCGTGCTCGTGCTCGTGCTCGTGCTCGTGCTCGTGCTCGTGCTCGTGCTCGTGCTCGTACTAGTGCTAGTGGTGTTCGGTCGACTGAGTTCTGATGCCGCACTTGTGTCTGTGTGCTCCACGCTGCTGGTCTCAGTCGCAACGCCTGTCGATGTGTCTGTACAGAAGCAGAGAGAACACACACAAACACACAAACAACCACAATTAGTACACAAGTCACAAGTCAACATCATATCCACATTGTCTCGCAATATGCCAGTCACATCCTCTGTCTCAGATCACACAACCAAAATAACTATCAATGCAACACTAAATACCGACACTTATGCCACCCTCTCAACCAACATCATCACAACAATATCTACGCACACACAAACAACTACATACAATACTACAACAACTAACAATGCGTCAACCACTGCAACACCATCTACACAACTCAGTGACAACAAACAACACAGTGCTTTCACACTAAGTCACAATTAAACACACAAAATACACATCACACATACCATACACTCTCTCGTCATCCCACATCCGTGTCACTGTGCCTACAATCAGTGTGAATCTCTGCTCGCATCCACTACACCACTGATCATGCTGATGCATTCAGCTACAAAACAACATAAACATGCTGTCGCCACTCACCTTCACACTCACCATCGACACATTTGCATTGCGAACACTCTCCAACGCAATCACTGTCATTCAGTCAGTCAATCTCTGCCTTAACCAACCAGTCACTCAATCACTCCATCAACCACTCCATTATTCAATCCATCAATCAATCATTCAATCAATTAATCAATTAATCATTCATTCATCCATTCACTCACTCACTCATTCATTCATTCATTCATTCATTCATTCATTCATTCATTCATCCATTCATTCATTCAGTCCGTCGATCAATCAACACGTTGTTCAAACAGTCAATCGGTCGATGTGACAATCAGTAGAACAGTGAGTCGATGCACTCAACACAAGCACACATGTCATGTGAACACGTGTTGAATGAGGTGTGGAGTGCATTTGGTGTCTTGCAAATCGATTTGGACCTACCGAAAGTAGCTGCAGCAGTAGTTGATGACGGCTCGGTCATCCGCATCGTAGCCGATGTTGCTGCCGTGGTCATGGTCATCGACGGCGTCAATGTTGTGCTTGTGGTCGCGGTGGTGCTATTGCTTGTGTTTGTGTCCATGCTCGTGCTCATGCTCGTGCTCGTGCTCGTGCTCGTGCTCGTGCTCGTGCTCGTGCTCGTGCTCGTGCTCGTACTAGTGCTAGTGGTGTTCGGTCGACTGAGTTCTGATGCCGCACTTGTGTCTGTGTGCTCCACGCTGCTGGTCTCAGTCGCAACGCCTGTCGATGTGTCTGTACAGAAGCAGAGAGAACACACACAAACACACAAACAACCACAATTAGTACACAAGTCACAAGTCAACATCATATCCACATTGTCTCGCAATATGCCAGTCACATCCTCTGTCTCAGATCACACAACCAAAATAACTATCAATGCAACACTAAATACCGACACTTATGCCACCCTCTCAACCAACATCATCACAACAATATCTACGCACACACAAACAACTACATACAATACTACAACAACTAACAATGCGTCAACCACTGCAACACCATCTACACAACTCAGTGACAACAAACAACACAGTGCTTTCACACTAAGTCACAATTAAACACACAAAATACACATCACACATACCATACACTCTCTCGTCATCCCACATCCGTGTCACTGTGCCTACAATCAGTGTGAATCTCTGCTCGCATCCACTACACCACTGATCATGCTGATGCATTCAGCTACAAAACAACATAAACATGCTGTCGCCACTCACCTTCACACTCACCATCGACACATTTGCATTGCGAACACTCTCCAACGCAATCACTGTCATTCAGTCAGTCAATCTCTGCCTTAACCAACCAGTCACTCAATCACTCCATCAACCACTCCATTATTCAATCCATCAATCCATCATTCAATCAATTAATCAATTAATCATTCATTCATCCATTCACTCACTCACTCACTCATTCATTCATTCATTCATTCATTCATTCATTCATCCATTCATTCATTCAGTCCGTCGATCAATCAACACGTTGTTCAAACAGTCAATCGGTCGATGTGACAATCAGTAGAACAGTGAGTCGATGCACCCCCATTATCACAAGTATGCCATTCTTGATTGTGCCCTAAGCCATGAAATATAACAGGTCTCGGATCTCGTCGCGTGCGAAATTCATTCATCCATTTGGGCTAAATAGAGTTTTGGAATTATATCTGATGTCAGTTGATGATGAGAACCGTAAATCTTAATCCTAACCTTAAACATTAAGTATAATTCATAATTGCGATTCCTCACACTGGTTGTACCCTCATTTCGTCCTAGTTATTTTAGATCACACTCTCAAGGTCACTTTAGCATCACTCAAAGGCCGTCCTCAGATTATAGTCTCATCAAACTACTTTATTTATAGATGATATTTTAAACTATAAACGAATCATTATTATTACAGTTTTATAAGAACACCGCCTTGGTATTCAGAGTTGAAAGTTGATCACCGTAATTGTTGGCATTTCCTTGATTGGGTCATGATGATGGATTGTAGCGAGCTGCGAAATCTAGGATATGAATTTCATTCTATTTAGGATTCACCAGTTGAATTTATCTGTATTCCAACACTGGTATTCTCTCATTGACACGAACTCAATATCTTTCGATTTAAACGACTAACTGATGTGAACGGGGAAACAAGAAGCCCTGACAAACTACGAAAGCTGTTTATCGGGACGTTATTTCATTTTATTCAAAGCTTGTAGAACATTGACATATTTTTGTCCCTATTTTATTCTATAGGACATGAGCTTTCTTTCGATTTATCATTCATTGCCATGCCCCTTTTTGTTCCGAGGCTATTGTAATTTAAACATAGTATTTTGCACTTTATTTTCTACCCTAATTCCCAGTTTCGGACATAATTGTATTTTTCCAAATTATTGTACATTGTGGTCAGGTAAATCACCTATTTATTCATGTACCTTTTTGCACTATTCTGAATTCGGAGATTTCACAGGAAATCAGGATATCGCAATACAGCCAAAAGTGTTCCAACTGTCTTGTCTTCTCTTATTTGCGTACTTGCTAGCCCATCAGATGCTAGAATAGTTCTCTTCTCTCTACCCCACCTCGAACTCACTTGTGCTAGCCTCAAGGTTAAACCGATCGGCCTATTGCGTCAAGGTTTTAATCTAGAGTAGACAGATCAAGGTCATAACATTAACTCATTATATTTTTAAGTAATTCACTATTTAACTCGACTCGTCAGTTTGAACAATGCGTTTAGCATTTAAAGAAAAGGGTGATGGTTTTAAGTCCCAGTGTGGAAATTAACTCTGAGTTGCCGATATATATTCAGCTGATGAATCAATAATAAAACGAAATGACAATCCTATCATTCTATTACTAGTGATTATCCATCTACTCTTAAACATCACTATATATTTCTCCTGCTATATATATATATATATATATCTTAAAGTATTTGATATTCCAATTTCTACTTCTCATTTAGAACTTACGATAGGACAAATTGAGGCATTAATCTACAAAGTAGAACCAAGGGATTTAATGGAATGGTCAGATAATTTAAGTATACCTACAAGTGCACTTTATTTAAATTTATCATCACAAATTCAATATGTGGTAGGTATCAATATTAATTTTTTGTATTTTTAAATTGAATATTCAAGTAAATCATCATTTCTAATTGTTTTTCGAGTTTACTTCAACATATTACTTAAGATGATTTATGAGTAATAAGCAAGTTCTCAGTGGCTGAGTGGATAACGCGAGTGCGTTTGTAGCGATTGGTACTGGGTTCCAGTCACAGAGTGTCCTGGGTTCCACTGCTAGCCACTATCCACCATTGCTTACGAAACGCTTGGGAATTAATGTAATATTGAGGCACACGCACAGCATGCACATATGCCAATAACAGACTGATCAATCGCAGGCTTAAACCTTAATGGGAAGATACAAGCCAATCAATGCTAAGTGAAGCAAGATTATGTTTGTCTGATATTTACTACTGACTGGAATATATCTATAAGGATGTTATGTAACTTTAGTTATCCGATATCTCACTCCATTTGGTTCGTATGAATCTTATTGAAATATACATATCGTCAATACTTTCACATAATTATCGAATTAATCCTCATGAATGAATAATGCAATTATTTAATAATTCAAATGTGAGAATGGATTTTTGAATACATATATTTTGTAAATTCATTGACCTGGACAGACAGTGAGACGGACGAAGTGAAGAGAAGAGAAGAGAGCGAAGCAAAGAAGAAGGCATATGAGCAAACTTGATTAAATCAAGCGTTAATCGTTAATTATAGTCGAACAAAATAAGTAACAGGCACGTGAAGAATAGGATAAGAAGTGCACACACATACACTCATATAAAATCAGTCAAGGTTGATAAGTGAATAATTGACAAGGTCAAGATGTGACTAAAAATATGAAGAGATTTGCCTATCCGGAATCTAGAATAAGCTATATGAGCTGGTATAGTAACCGATACTACATAACCATATCACGTATAAACTATGGCATACTCACTAATACTTGAGTTTATACACGTTCGAATTTAATGAGCCCTTTAGTTAACTTATTCACCATGCAGTGTCAGGCATGGCATCAACTATTTGCTTACATCGTTAAGTTGTCATCACCATGCTTCTTAGATCAGTTATGCTTGATCACTTGTTACAGCTCATACACATATTCCTCTTATTAGCCTAAAGTGGTAGATGATTCAGTCTGTTGCTTACGTTTACGTGCTACTGAAAATTTATTCATTCATCCATTCTCATTTTTCGTCGTATTTGCTTCATTTTCTTGGGAGCTTCGTGAACTGTGCTGTACGATAGAAGACTGAAGTCAACGCTTAATATAGTCTTCTGAAATGTATACACCGTAGGAGATATCTACTAGAAGTTATCGGGACGAGCGATGAATGAAGTTGAAGAAGTATGTTTAAGACATCCCACTGCATCTCGATCTCGAATGAACTAACATTGGTTATGATTCAGCTATTATTCAATTTTAAATATCAAAATTCTTAAGAAAGTTGATTGTTTCTCCGATATTTGAGTTACTATGGTTCGAATCATACAGGGAGCATCAATTCCATCAGTATTGAAGTTAAGCCATGTTGATGAATAACTACAAATTAAATTATCTACGATCATGATAATGTGGTGAATATGTTCTAATATTAATATACTGTTTGTAAACAGGCGTCATGCAATTCGCCTATGATGCTAGAAATCTCCGCATACTTTAGAATAAATAACTTGCGTATGTTTCCATGGACTGATATACTTTTAGTATAAGGAGAATTATTGGAGATCATTGAAATTTCATGATCTATAAACAACAAACTGATCTCAGTTAGACTACTATTAAAACGTGAAATCTTTGGGTAGCTGTTTTGTCATTAAATGTAACTCTTCAGTACTAATAAATCCAAAAACTCACCACAAGAAATTGATTTCAGGACCGTCAGACTTGCGAGCGAATGCTCAACATCCACACCACTAACTTTGAGTCCGACGGTGTGAATGCCTCACTTCGGTACATTCATGATATGCGGCTTTGATTCTTCTACTATTCTTATAAGCTTATTTTCTTTATTTAAAAGTAGTATTGGACAAATTTGATGTTCAAAATCATGAGGGTTATTTAACGACAATGTTTTGATGCCACACATTAAGGTTTGGTATATTGTTTTATGATAATCAGTGATTTAATAGGAAGCATAACCTTTTTGTATTTAATTCACTTGGTATTGTTTTACTGGAATCTTCCCATTGTTGTTCAGGATTGAAATTGACCAGTCACTAATTGGCATATGTGCATACTGTGCGTATTGCCTCGATATCCATCTTTGCTTTTAGTTGAATTATTTTAAACTGATTGATAATTTGAAGATTTGATTGCATAACTGAAATATCTTTTTCTTTCCTTGATGATTAGGTTACTAAAAGTGTACAATTAGCGAATGTTCAAATTTCATTCTCGTTCAAAATTCTGAACGTCACGTTCGAAAAAGTCATAGTTCAAATTGAAACTGTCTACAGAGTTAATAATACTGAAAATTACGAATATCGATTAATCAACAGTATCTTCATGAAAATGACGGTGGAAATGAGATCATTGGAAGCTTCACTATTAACCGATATGGAATTAAAGCAGATTTTCATTGAAGGATTGGGAAAGTTGAATGTTACGAGTGGACCAAATTTGGTTGACATTGAGTTCACTCGTAAGTTGATAATATCATATTATGCGAAAAAACGTCTTCTGATAGACTGTAAATGTCAGCTCACTAGTATATTAATTTAAACCATTCCCTCATGTTCCAGTGAGAATTCGTGACCAGTAAAATTTGATCACGTCAGAAGTAGAACAATTGTGTAGAATATCAGGGTAGGATAATCATTTTGTAGTTCAGATTGATTGAAGTGATAATTCTAGCAGTAGACATCGAGTCAATCATTTTGATAGTTACACATTAGTATCTAGACTCGAAAGATTTGGTTTTGATCCCAATTTAAGTCATGAATGTGCACTGATGTGGCTTATTATACGAGGATTGAACATCATTCAATTAATTGCTGATGTTCAGTTATTCACTGACAACGGTTAATTAGTGACGAAAGCAACCTAAATATTAAAAATCAATCTTAAGTCAACCCAACTTTTCCATTGGCAATCTCGTGCGAATATGCGAGAGAAATATGAATATACAGAGAAAGTATCGAATATGTAGATGGAAATATGGTTCTCCGGTAAACTCAATATTAAAAATGATCATAAAATGATATCAATAATGTCGAAAACAGGTATTTTCCATTGCGAGTATGCGAAATCTAATAATGCTTTAAGAAAATGGTGATACAAAAACAGATAACGTGTACTGTGTGCGAGAGCATTTGAGGAGAAATAATTATATTTTACTGACAAAATACCGCAACTAAAGACTGAAAATTAAAACAACTTTTATATATAATATAAGTATTAGCATTGATTTCTGAAGGTATTCTCGATTGCGACGAGTAAATCAACGACAAATACAAACATATGTGTGATTTATACTTAATTGAACAGGTTTACCGACAAGCATGTCAGCTTCGACTAGCAGCCTTCAACAGAAAGACAGAAGTAGTGTCTCAACCGAATTCGCACAACCGATTAGGACGACGGAGACGGTGAAGTCGACATCAACAGTGAAGACGACGAGCCCATCACCAACTACTACATCAGATGATTTCGGTAGGTCCATATTGTTTCGTCAGAAGTCACGTGTTATTCGCATCTATTTCCATACATGGTCACATGAGATTTGAGTTTGTGCTGTGCTCAGTGTTCAGTTGATTGATAAACTGATTGATTGAACGATCGACTTACCGACACAGACAGATTTGGTGACAGTATCTGAACGGCGTAATGACAACTGACGACCATTCTGTTTTCATTTTGCAGTGTTCGATTAGATCGCAGTCACTCTTACAATTCAGTTCATTAATGTCATTCCGTGCGTTCTTGTGTGCACTTATCTTTTCGTCTATTTGTAAGCATTACTAACATCTTCCGCAGAATGATGAATAGTGAATCAAACTAAAGTTAGTCGTGAAGACACCACACCAGTAACAATCAGTGACAACATCGATTCCTACTCACTGTATCACCACGAGCGTGCCTTCAAAATATCAGGAACTTGCAATGAAACTATTATTATCATTACCAATTACATGCTATGGTATTTAAGACTTCTCTAATTAACTTTTCCTTGTAGAGATGTTCGTGTTCGAGGTGGATATTGTGATCTATATTGGAGAACGGTCAGTGCCCATGAATTGGTCAACTGATCTGTCGAATGAGTCAAGTGTCATGTACAGAAATTTGTCGATGTCGATTTGTGACCTGGTAGGTGTGCATTGGTTATGGTTATTGTGTTCTTAGTGTACTGGTATGCAATAATCAGAGAGCAGTGTGTGGATTGTTCGAATGACACCAGTGTAGTGGACAAATGGTTCTGTGAAATGACAGGAGTGAAAATCTCCAAGAGGGAGAGAGAGAGAGAGAGAGAGAGAGAGGGTGGGTGGGCATAGTTTGAATCAAATTGATGAATGTGTAATGTACAGACTGAGCTAGTAAGTAGGCGTGGAAGTGTGTGTGTGTGTGTGGTGTGTGTGTGTGTGTGTGTGTGTGTGAGAACGGACGTTTGTGAGAAGGCAATGAGTTAGTGAGTAGGTAAGAAGTTAGTAGTAGGTGGTGAGTAAGTAGGTGAGCAGGTAATGAGTTAGTGGTCATGTGAGTGTGAGATTGAAGCGAGTAGTGATGAATTGGTGTATTGAGTGGTGTTCACATTGGTAGTGTGAGCGTCGGTTAGTTGAATGAGTAAGCCAGTGATTGTAAGTGATTGTCCATTTGTGAAGTGGTGGTCATGCACTTGGTCATTATAATGATGATAGCGATGGTGAGCACTGGTCGACACCGGTCTAATTGAAAATTGTAGTTGTGGTGTTGATATATGAGCAAGCGAACGACGGATCGAGAGACTGACTAATCGACTGATTGTGTATTCTGTGTGATTTTGTTTTGCACGTTTCAGCTATTGAGCGGACTACGTCTGGGTAATGAAGAGTTCTCTCGAGGTGCTACTTGTGTCCGTGTTGTCTTCATTCGGATCATGATTTGGATTGACGGTGTTGGCCAAGCTCACACAGACGCGGGTGTCAATCGTGTCTCAATGGAAGCTGTTCGAGCAATTGCGAGTGTGCAGTTGCATTTGTCTCGTGGATCACAACCAACTGAGACTGATCTCACGGAGACTCTGGTTCGTGGATGCACACTCCTGAATATCAAGAGTGGACCAAGTTTGAGAAACATCACAGCATATCGTAAGTCGTCAATTGTTGTTGCCCATTTTGCCAATGATATGTTTTGATATGATATGATATGATATGATATGATGTGATGTGAGATGAGATGAGATGAGATGATAGTTAGGCGAGACACTGAGTGTGTCGCCATTGAGATAGGAGAACAGTGACAGTATTGTTTATCAGCCGATTGTTCCCAATGTTGGATGTGCACACCCGTAGTGGAAGCATCCAGCAGAGAGATCAATACACCATGGAAAACGTATACGTGGAGCTAGTGACTGACTTACTGATGGATAGGGAGGTGTGAGTCTCTCCAGTTTTCTTTCACAGGTCACATGCATCGTGGTAATGTTGATGATGTCGATTGTTTGTTGTTTACAATGTACGGTGTAGCATTTCTGTGATGTGACCGTGTTGTGTAGCATTGATTTGTGCAGGTTTTGTAAATTGTGAAGAGTGAATCGGTGTGTTATGGGGAGATATGTGTATATTGGTGCTTGGTGGACCAAACAGTATATTAACCACAAAGGAATAGCAATAAAATTATTACGTTCAAAAGTTAATATAGCAATAAACAACTTATAAATTAGTAACGCAAAATCTTAGTTCAGGGACGTTGCGTGTTCCGTTGTTCTTGGTACCAAAGATGCACAATTGTAGATAATTAATAATTCCAATGAAGTAAATATATCAGGCTTCAGCCAGTTTTCTCGACGTAGAATGCAACTATAAAAATAGTTGATAGTTAATCAATAGTTTATTTATTATATCCACAGGCATGATAGAACGAGACATGTGTATATGAGTGTGAATTTATTAATGCACAGTTAACAATGTCGTGCTATGTGTGATTCAAAACGGAAGGAAGTTTGTTGTCAAGGTCACATACTTAAACAACAAGTACAATCGTTTAGCGATGGTTGTACAAATTGTGGAAATAAAAAAATAAATGCAAAAGCTATCAAAAACTATTTACAAAATAAGTTTTTTAAGTCTATCTGTACATAGCTGCCCGCAGTGTGTCCAGAGGTAACACTGGTTATAATAACAAGAAATAACAAAAACAACAAAAATATGGTGGAGATATGTATGACATGCACCTTGGTAACATACCATGTGTTATTGTGTAAAATCGTATTAGTGCAGCATATCATAGTAACCACAGAGAAAAAAATGAAAATACAAATATTCAAAGTCTTGGTTTGCTAATAATACTTATAATGTGCATGACTGTTAATAAGCTGGTAAAATAAAATATTGGCTTGTTTATTTTTATGTATAATTAATAAATAATGAACTACAGTTCACCCGTTTGTTATTATGACAATTTCTCTTATTAAAAAAAATTGACAAAACAAGTGATCGTGAAGAAATGTAATTAATTATATGCACAAGTGAAGAAGGGAAATAGTTTTTACTAGAAAAATGGAGTAAATTTAATCTTGTAATATGCATCCCTGAATGTTTTTGCTTTTATTAGTCTACAAAATGTACATAACGTTTAGGTTTGTTTATATGACTACCGGAGCGTGTTAAATAAGAAGGCTTAGTATTAAGTTTTTCATCCTCCACTGGTTTTTCAGTAACTGATGGGAGGGGTTTGGCTTGTCGACAATGTTGTCTTCTTTGACTGGAGTAGCAAGTTTTATTCTGTCCATAGAAATGGTCTACTTGTTGCCATTTCTGTTTATGATGAAGTACTTTTGTGTGTGTTTAATTACTTTATACGGATTTTCGTATGGTTTTTTCAATGGTTTTTTAACCGCATCTAATCGGACGAAAACGTAATTGCACGTTTCAAGGTGTTTATCAAGTTGGACACGACTGTTGTGTTTGCAAGGAGGCATTGCTTTAATGTTCGGCATCGTTTGTAATAGGCGGCTTACGAAGCGAGTAGAATACCCTGGAGTTATAGCTTCATGGTTGACCAGTTGACCAGGTAACGTTAGAGTTGTGCCATAGACTAATTCGGCGGCTGTGCATGCAATGTCTGCCATTGTAGTTGAACGAATCTCGAGGAGTACAAGCGGAAAGGCATCGCTTCATTTGGATGAGTCAGCTTGAGCCATTAGTGAGCTTTTTAATTGGTGACGGAATCCTTCAACCATGCCATTAGCTACAGGATGATAAGCTGTCGTTTTGATGTGGTTTACGCCGAGAAGTTTAGTGAACTCCTGAAATAGGACGGATTGAAATTGGCGGCCACGATCTGTAGTGATTATCGACGGTACTCCATAGTTTGATATCCAGCGATCAAGGAAAACTGATGCAACTGTTTCTGTAGACGTGTCTTTTATGGAGCATGCTATGGTCCATCTGGTGAACCTGTCCACCGATGTCCAACTAATCCAAATGAACATGTTGGAAACGTTTG